CTCTTACTTATAACTGTTTTATTTTAATTCCATCTGAGTACCTGGAAACTTCAAGGGGAAAAAAGTGTTATATCCCTGTTACATTTAATAAAATTATAATGGCCTGAATGTTCCATGTTGGCTACACAGTGACATTTGAAGAATTATAGGCTTTCAGAAAGGAACCTTTTATTCATATACTTATAAGTTAGAAACTAATCTATTTAGAGGTTATTATTCTTCATGTAGCAAGGCTGTAGAGCAACCAGTAATCCAGCAGATCTATACATGCCCATTGTTTTTCTTTTTCAGGAAGGTTCAATCCATTTGGGGTAACATACTAACTTTTGCAGAAACAAATGAGGCTTAAGTGGGCACATTTAGGGAAGACATAGTTGGCCATAAGACAGGGAGGGGTGAGAGTCCTTTATGTAAATAGATGTTAAAAAAAATCTAAAAATATTTCTTTTTATAACATCACAGGCAGTTCAGACATTAGAAATAAGAGCCCATGTATAATGTTCACAAACATTTATTGCAGTGTAAAGTATGTTGACACAGATAAACTTGCATCTGGTGGAGGCAGCTCTGTTAATGAATTTGCAGTAATACAGATTTGCTGCATGACTTAAATGTGGAGATTGCTGAAAACCAGTTTAAGTTTGAGTCATCCATACATTCAGTGATGTGATGGATGTCGAGGTTAATTTGCAATAAATCCATTAGTAGTCATGGCACTGATGTGTCAGTGATTGTCATATAGAACCATGCATAAATAATAAAGGTGACACATTTCTTCACGTGCTTTTCTATGTTCCTAAAACGCTTGAAACGGTGATTAAGATGTACTGTTGCTGCACATTGAATTTACTTATATAATACAATAAAACATGTTTCTATAAAAATAAAATTAAAATAATAAAGCTAGACTGCAGTTCATTTTGTATAGACTTACTCCTTTATTTAACAGTTGAAGTGAATTTTTTTGCATCATGCTATAAATCTTACCATGCTAGATGTTTTATGATGATGAACTAATATTCTTTTTCTCATGAAAGCTGCCATGTGATGCAATTTAATATCCTTCTCATTGTCAAGTACTAGTGAATGTAAATAATAATATAATGGGTTTATGTGGAAAAATTGCTAATCCAAGGAATGAAATACTGAAGGGTTTAATAAGAACTAGGATGGAGGAAAGTCACCATTTCTTCAAAGGCATTTGGTTTTCACTCAACTTTGAAATGACTCAAACTTTTCCAAACTTATATTAAAACAAAACAACAATGTTGCAGTGTTGGTTATTTTATACTTTTTTTTGTTATTTTATATTTTTAACACATACGCAGACACACACACACATTTCCACCACACGCACCATCTGTTCTCTGTAAAATTTACTGGGCACTTACCACAGGCCAGGAATTGGACTAAGGTGTTACTGTTTGATATCTTATTTAATTTTGGTGGAAGCTCCATGAGGTAGATAGTGTCAGTATCCTCCTTTTTTCCAGATGGGATATCCAAGACTTAGAGTAAATAGGTTGGTCAAAGTCACTGTTGCTAGTAAATGATTCAGTTGGAATTTGAACCCAGGTCTGTTCAGAGCCTACATTCTTAATTTTTTAGCTGTCTGCTATAGTAAGTACATCATGTCCTTGTTCAGAAAAATGCATACTAAATGAAGTAGATTTTAAAACTGTAGTCATCTGACCCACTATATTTTATTGTGGGAGTACTGTCATATTTTTAAGGTTACTAGAATAGAATACACTTGTAATTTTCTATCTTGATAGAAAGGGGATTTAAGAACATAGGAGATTCTGTAGACTTTGATATGATTTTTTTTCCTTTTAAGAAAGCCAAGATGCTTATAGAGGTAGGGAGAGAGTGGCGGGGGGGTTGGAACTGGACATCTAATTCTCTCACTTAACATGGAATTATGCTGTTGAGTGCAATACAGTCCACTGTTGTGCATACAGAAGAAGAGGCAAAGGAGATTGCTTTCCAGATACATCTGGAGAAAAAAAGATGCTAGAAATAATTGCATTGTTTGGCACAAGGTAGTACAATTGTTTTTGCTTTGTTATGGTGAAACTTAAAGAACTGGAAAGTCGTTTTAAGGAAGACAGAGTAGTTAATAGCATGCTAGTCGCCAAGTCACTTATTGAAATATGAGATGAAATCAAATCTTGAGTAACGATGTTTGTATTGTGACATTTACGTTACTGAAAATATAAACCTTTAAATTATTATCCTCCCATTCTGTAGCTCAGCAACTAGAAACTTTCATAGTTCCCTAAGTTTTGGGAAGTATACCCTAAACTAAATGTTAATCTACGTATATTAAATGTTCTGTCATTTCACATTTACATGTTATTTTTCTTTTTTTAAAAGCATTATGAGGTGAAAGGTCAGTATATGATCATGAGGTGCAAATGTCACTTTATGGATATGAGACATTAGAATATGATAACAGTTGGCCTTGATAAATTCAGACTGACACATCCAATTAACTTTTTCTTGACTGTCTTGTTATGATAACAGAAACATTTCTGTAATAAAAAAAAAAAAAGTACAGCAGTAGGAGTCTGGATATTAGGTTTCCTACCAGCTCTGCCACTTAACGAAGGTTGCAACTTTAGATAACAAATCCATCTTTATGACTAAATTTCCTCAAATGCAACAAGGGGCTACTGCCTCCCCTGCTTTCCATCCAGGAATGAAGAAGGAATGAAAAATTATTGTGAAAGTGATATTTTTAATATGAAGAACCTCTATGGGACGTAAGATAGTTTGCTTTACACCACCACCTTCTTCTGGTGATTCTAGAAAACATCTGAATTCTTAGATATGTTTTACATTGTTATGCAGCATCTCTAGTTTTGAATATTTGTCTTAATTCATAGGAACTACATAGTCACTAGAGAACAAAGGTAATTAAAAGGTGCAAAATAAAAGTAATCAAATACCTACACTCAGAGTTCACCACCACAGTCTCCTGTTAAAGAAGCCTTCACTTTTATATAGTCTTGTCCAATTTTTATCAATGTAGGTTTTAGTGAAACATTTAATAGTTAATCATCTGAGAAAAATGACCAAGCTGAAAAATACTTATCAAATAGTTCTTGCTTATTAATATCCTGAGTAACAAGCTTCCGATGATGTAGAACATAAATGGTCCTGGAGGCTCCAGGATTTCTGATGCCCAAATCTCTACATTCTGAATGTTCTTTACTTGCATATTGACTGGTGCCTTTGAAGTACAACTTAACTATTTTCACATGAGAGAGAGAAACTACTTTCATGCATTAGTAACC